AAGCCCTCTGCCCCAACCACTAGGCTGCCACTTCCCTGCCATCCCTGGATGATGGATGGATAAATGGATTGATGGAAGGATGGATGAATGATTATGTGTTGACAGATTCCTCTTCCCAGCTTTTATTGTCGTTGCACTGTAAGTACAGAGCAACGAAATGAACTCCCTGCATTTAACTCATCAGCTTGGGGAGCAGTGGGCTGCTACTGTGTGGCGTCCAGGGACCAGTGTGGGATTAAGCGTCTTGCAGAGTGTCAGTCTGTGGGAGTGGGGCTCGAACTCAGAACCTCAGGATTCCAAGCTCTATGTCCTAACCACTATGTATCGATGGATGGATTGGTGATGATGGATGGATGGTGGATGAATGGATGATGATGTATGGATGGATGGATGAATGAATGGATAGATGATGATGTATGTATGGATGAATCAATCAATGGATGGTAATCAGCTGGTTCATCGTCCAACATCGCGATCAGGCATTTGATGACGTGAGGAGGAGCAATAATGAGACCATAGCAGGACTAAACAAAGTCGTAGATCTAAATCCTGCTGTTTTCTTTGTTTAGATGGAAAGACTCGGACCAAAGACAAGTACCGGGTGGTCTACACCGACCACCAGCGGCTGGAGCTGGAGAAGGAGTTTCACTACAGCAAGTACATCACTATCCGGAGGAAGGCGGAGCTGGCCACGGCGCTCAGTCTCTCAGAGAGACAGGTAAGCTGTGGGTCTGATCTGACCTGGTTCTTCTATTTGTGGGAAACCGTTGAAGCGGACTGATGTCACCTCTTCTAGGCAGATATGTTTTTGAATGTCTAAATTTAATTTGCTGTCCATCAAAATCAGGCTTAGCTGGTTCTGGCCCATCAAAGCCCAGTGGACCAAATGTTTGATGTCCCTCAGTTCTGATGTGAATCTCACTTTTTTCAGGTGAAGATCTGGTTCCAGAACCGACGAGCGAAGGAGAGAAAGATCAACAAGAAGAAGCTCCAGCAACCCGCCTCCTCCACCACCACGCCCACACCTCCCACCGGCGGCGGAGGAAACGGAGGAGGAAGTGGACTCCATGGGAGCAGCAGCAACGTTGCCATGGTTACAAGTAGCAGCAATGGGCTGGTTTCTCCATCTTCTCTGACTCTAAACATCAAGGAGGAGTACTGAGGAGACAAAGACGAATTTTCACGGGGCGTTGATGTGGGCGGCTTGGACTCAAGAGTTGACCCAACAAACTGAAACCCTTCAGCGCCTCAATCTCTGCTCCTCTTTATTAGGTCTGATGCTTTAGCTCAAGAAAGGTTGGAAGTTGTGGATGGGTAAAACCTCAACGAGGTGTCTGTCCAACAGTTCCAGACGGTCTCTGCTGGTCCTTCCTGAAGTCATGATGGGAGAAAATCTGCCCATTTGATCCAAACAGCTGGAGGGTGAAGCACGCTGACGATCCTAAGCTCAGTCCATTACCTTTAACAAACGGTTCCGGACATTTGGACCAAACTGCCCCATGGAGCTTCATGAAGGGCAGCTGAGTTCAGGTTAAACCCAGAGCTTAGTTCCTCTGTGGTCCACTTAGATGAGTCATACAGACAGATCCTTCACAGAACATGTACCCTCAATCAGTCACCACAGATTGTTGATCTGGACCTGTCAGTTTAATCAGTGACTAGGACCTGTCACTGGACCCGTCACCTGGACTCCTCAGTGGACCCATCCCTGACCCGTCACTTGGACTCCTCAGTGGACTTATTCTGGATCTGTGAGTGGATCCATGACTAGGACCCGTCACCTTGACAAGTCACTTGACCCATCTGGAATCGTCAGTGGATCTGTGACTAGGACCCATCACCTGGACTAATCACTTGAACTGTCATAACCTGCCACTGGACCCTGTGACCTGTGGACACCTCTTCGCCTTTCTACCCGCAGATGCTAAACCTTTGAACCAGAATCAGAAAATTCAGAAGAAGACAAACCATTTTATAATATTTAGACTTTGAAACTTTTAAAAACTTATTTTTCTCTATTAAAAAAAAAAACTAAACTTGTGAAATATTAATGGTTTTATGATTAAGAATGTAACTTTATTGGATGGTTTTACTAAAGCAAAAAAGAAGATTTTGTGTTTTCTAATCTTCTTGTTTCTTAATTTATACATTTGGTGTAATATAATTATATATAACTCAATAAGTTTTTGCATATGTTTTTAACTTCTTATGTTTTTATATGGAATTTTTAAAATATATTTATCGAGATGTTGGCTCCTCAGGAACGTTCTCACTTTATTAAAGAAGTCTCAGAAATACTTAAATCAACTCTAAAAACGTAGCCGTTCCTGGTTTACAATTTAGAGTGTTTGTCCTAATTAACTAAGATCTGCAGAGAATATAAGACAATCACCCACGTTAGATTTTGTCTTTAGATCAATACAATGGTTGTGTTCGGTTTTTAAAAGGCATAAAAGGTCCAAATTCAGTTAATTTCGTGAAAACCATAAAATATGAAAACACTGGGGGCGTTACAAACAGATTTAGACCAGTAACAAATGCAGGCATTTAAATGGGAGTAATGGGTGGGGGGTCTTTTGATGTTATAATGGGTCCAGCTGAGAAACTTAGTGTCCAATTCGGATGAAATGTCAAAAGTGAGTCATAACAGTGTGTTAAAGGACAAAACGTCACTGCACCATAAAGTTTATCAGGCTAGAGTCAACTCAATAAGCTTACTAGTGAAACAGAACCAGTAGACGTACATTCAGAACGTTGGATGTTACAGCTTAAAGCCAACAAGTCCGAATTCCTCAGGGCATTTAGTTAATAATATATTAGTTAATAATATATTGACCAAACAACCATGTTAGCTCCTAGCAGAAGCAGCATGTTGAGCTATGAAACCATTAGGTTATACCTAGTGTTTCACCGATACCAGTATTGGGCAGGGCCCCAATACTGCTATAAAATGGTGGTACCGGTATCGGCAAGTACCAACAAATAGGGCACCAATACCATTTTGAGAGCCAAAAGTTTATTCAATTATTGTCACCCATTCCAGGTAGGCCATAAAAAGTTCTACTGGATTCAGTTTGTATTAGTCTTTTTCCTGCTTCACAAAGGTAGGCAGCAGCTTAGCAAAGCCATGATGGCAATTATTTAAGATCCAAGTATGCAATTCTTCATACACACACACACACACATCAATTTCAAACAGATTATATCGGTATGGTATCGGTATTGGCCGATACTGCTCAGCCAGGTATCGGGTATCGTATCGGGGCCAAAAAATGGCATCGGGGAAACACTAGTTATAACCATAACTGAGAAAAAAACTGGGAATGGAAGTGGACTGAGTAGAACCTCTGGGCCTGATCAGAGAGCTACTTCATTAAGATGGAAATAAATCTAAACTTTTGCCAAACGGCAACATTTTCATTAACAACATTATTTATTTTTGGTCTGCAAGAGAAATCCCTCATATTAAGATTCCAAATTTCTTTGTTCATGACCTTGAGGGGACAGTGACTATCTAACATGTGTCCTTGAAGTCCAGAAGTGTGTGAGTCATTGTTAGAGACAAAACTGAAAGAAAATGTTCTGTAAGACGAAGATGACATTTCTACTGGGTTGTCAGTCTGTCAGTCAAAAGCTAAAAAGTATGAAAAATGTTAATCCACCTTAACCTTGTTGGTCACCATCATGATAGGTTTACACTGATATTCCCTCTAAGGTCAGTTATTGTTAACACATGATATAACACAATATTAATCCGCAGTCAGCTTGTGATAAATATCAAAGCTAACATAAAGTAAGCTAACTTCAGGCTAAAGCTAGCAGGGTCACGCTAAGTTCAGTTCACTAGCTGATATGTGTTACTGTTATGTGTTGGAACATGCAGGGATTTATTTTTGGCAGGGCGGGAAGCATAATACGTTGTGATTTCAACGTTTTGACGACAGTCTGAGACATTTTGGACCATTTTATGTTCCCCAGCGTAAACAGCCATCTGTCCTCAGTTATGTTAGCAACCTGTTTAGCCACATTTATAATCAATGGTGCTGCGGCCATCTACTCATGTGTTTTTTTTCCTGTTGGCATGTTGCAATGTTGTTTGGGAGTCTGTTAGCTTTAGGCTAAAAGCAATGAGGGCACAACATGACGATACGCAGCCTAACTGATCATCTGCTCTGTTTGTGGAGAGCTTATGATAAGCTTTGAAGGGAAACAACCTAAACAACAGCAGTGATGCATCATAAGTTTATACAATCCTGATCAAAAAGAAGATTAGAGGACTTCAGTTCAGGATGGAACCAGTGATGTGGTTAAAACATTGTTTTTCTGCTTGTTCTGATGGTTAAGGTAGATTGATTTGGTAAAATTTTGTCAAAAATAATAAGTTCAAACAGACTAAAACTAAAATAAAACTTTGTGAATTTTGTGTCGACTAAAACTGGACTGAAACCATTTCGTATATGAATGATTAAAATGTGACTAAAATAGTTTCTAGAAGACAAAGATTTACACCCAAGATGGCTGCCAAGAACGACCCTGCCTTTGGAAGCGGAGATGTAAAAAAATATTTTATCCAAGGTTAATTTCACAGAAGCATTTTTCTTTTTCGGGTCCACATTGCCTTAATGTCTGTAAATGTTTGTGATTTTTGGAGAATAATTATGTGTATTTTTCAAATGTCTTTTTTATTAAAACCAAAAAGCTTTAGGGTAAAAAGTGTCTGTTGGAGTTTTGATCTGCTCTGCTTTGGACGGTTTCAGCCCAGTATTTGACCCTTCCACATGAAATGTTTCGGATAAATTAAGACACTGGAAAACAATCTAGAAATATGTAAAAATTTCATACATGTATTTATCCTTAATTTGAGTAGGTAAATGATATAGTCTATTACCTAATTAACTTATTCAGTTAATCTTATTATCTTATACAGTGGAATGAATATTTCTACTCTTAAAAAAAGATAATTAGATAATATGCACTTGAAATAAGACAATGCAATTGTGTTTTCTTATTTTAAATGTAAATTGTCTTGTTCCATTGGCAAAATGGCAAAATTGTAAGAAAAAAATGACTTATCTAGATTTCCATTTTTTCCAGTGCTAGTCTCTGATCTGCTCATAAGGTCAGGTCAACTTTACGTACCTGCAGATCTTAAACATCAACACAGTTTCACATGGATGCAAATGAAGGACAGTAATAAGTCCAATAAAAAAAAAACCCCAACAGCACCATCAGTACCCCCAAAATGAATGTTGGTATTTGGCTGAAACTGTGAGAGATGACTGGTTCCGTTAGCTTAGCCTGAATAATCACCGGTGTGGGAGTGAAACATTGAGCCAGATTTTAATGGGACTGAATGCATCTTGGCGCCACTTTCTAAAATATTCCATCTATACATATCAATACTCTGTTTTTAATAAGCTCTTCTTGAGTATTAACCAAACACACACAGAATCGTGTTTGCGAACTGATACATCAGTTGAGGTGTGGTGTCCAAAGGGCAAAGACGAACACTGGGCAAACAGACGCAGGATCCTGCTATCTGCTCCTCTGTGTGTTCATGTGTCCACAGTGGGACCTTTGTCCTCCAGGGCCCACTTTGCCTTCAGCAACAGCCCTATCTTAACACTGATACAGGCTATCACCAGTGTTAGTGTGTGTGCGTGTGTGTGTGTGTGTGTGTGCAGGTTAACCATAGAGACCAGCGACTGCCATCATGAACTTGAGACATTTGGTTAAAAACAAAAAGGGTCAAAATTAGGTTGTAATAAAAAAAAAAAAATCAGGAAGCATCTTTAATCCTAATTAAGTACATCATTTGTGTTTTTATTTTTACATTTGGTCTGAAACTGATGTTGGCTCAAACACCGCTAGTTTGGAATTCAAAGTTAAAATATTATAAATAAATATAAAAGGTCCCAAGAACTCAGCCCTGAGGAACTACTGTGACGATCAGCTTCCCATTTCTGTTTCTAAATCAGAAATAAAACAGAGAATCTCTTCAGAGAACAAAGCACAGAAAACAAGTGCTGTGAAAAAAGGCTACTTTTTTTAACTACTTTGGGAGTTTTTTCCCCCCTCGGCCTTAATTGACTGTTACCGTGCCGACAGGACTGGGTTTAAGTCTGATTAAAGTTTATCAGCAGTTTGGCTTCATTTAGAGATAGAAGACACTCCCAGCTCCACTTGACCTGCTGCTGATAAGCTGCTTCAGGTAAATCAGAACAAGCTACAAAAACACCCAAAAAGCAGATATCGTTTCAGAGAGTCATTATTCTTCTTTAGAACAAGCTATTTTGTTTTATAACATGTTTTTAATAACATATAATATCAGAGAGTTTGGGAGAATTTTTTAATTCTTCAAAGAAATTCCATCTACATTGACATTGCATAATTATTATTTTTAATGAATTAATGTCAAATTATGTTTGTTTGTTTTAAAAAATAAACAAAAACAGCTTAAAAGATTTTTACCAATTGGACAGACGTCTGTCTTTTAAAGAAAAGAACAAAATAAATATTCATCTGCTATTTATGGTTATAAATTAGCCCTTACCCTGAACTCTTATCATTTCATATAACTGATTAACGCCTGCGACACCTGCAGCTTGACGTC